GGCCCTGGAGCTCTATGTCTCTGACGAGCAGTCACCAGCCACATCGACCTGATCAGTGTTTGATTGTTGTGTCTTGTTGCTTTTCTTCTTTTGTCTCTCCTCTATCCACTCACCCCAACCGGTCGAGGCAGAAGGCCGCCCACCAAGAGCCAGGGTCTGTCGGAGGTTTCTTCCGTTAAAGGGAGTTTTTCCTCCCCACTGTCGCCAAGTGCTTGCTCAAGGGGGATTTGTTTGGTTTTCCCTCTGTAATAATATTGATAACAGTAAGGTCTAGACCTTACTTTGTAAAGTGTCCTGAGATGACTTTTGTTGTGATTTGGCGCTATACAAATAAAATTGATTTGATTTGGAGGCCTGGTAACAACATGCACCTCCTGCCAGTCTCCTTGCTCTTCTGCTCTCAACGCAGGAGAGTAAAACGCTGAGTGATGGTTGTTTAACACTGCGACAAAGTCCTGTGCTCGTTCAATACCGGATGTTTATATAATATATAGTTTAATTTAATTTGTCAGCATTGCTGTACTTTTTAGCACCATGTATGGGAACTTTCAGAAAAATATCCACTTGTAAATACAATTTGGATGGTGATGTGAACAATCTTTACATCGGTCTGATATGGCATTAACACAGCACAGGCTAACTAGTTTAAACAGTGGTATCGATCTCCAACTCTCGGCGAGGAGGTGTGTGTGTTTTCCAGACTGTCAAAGTGCAGCTTGACATAAACTTGTAGCTTCACTCACTTACCAGAGTGTGTCAGGAGGCCAAGGGGGCGCGAGGAGACAGGAACAGAGGTCGGTTTCTTCAATACAGCCAGACAGGCATGTCCAGGCTGTCCTGTGTTTGCTGAGCTGTAAAATGGGACATAGAGGACACTGACTGACAACAAAACAAAGCATGAACACAACATAAAAGTCAATTATCAGTCTTTAATTAGAGAAACGTTGCAAGATTTCATTTCCAACAAAGAGAGTCCTGGTAGAAAAGAGAAGCTGAACTGTGTGGATCCTTTTTTTACTTCTGGAAAAGAGTGAAGCGAAACTGGTGACAAAGTTTGGAGGATGAACATGACTGCAGAGTGAAGCAGTGAGCACAGCGAGGATTTCAGTCTGAAGAAAACTTCACTACATATTAACAATACAGCAGCTGCTGTGATTTGCAGAGACACAGAAACCCCGACTATGTCCTTCAACTTGTTTTAAAGGTGGATGTTAGGACATCCACTGTCTGGATAGCATCTCTGACAGGATCACGGTTTGGCAGGTTTGGCCTCAGCGGGGTTTTCCCCAGTGTCCAGGGTCTTGAGGAGGCGGAAGAGGCCGGCAGCTTCACGGATACGGCTGAACTCAATGCAGAAGGCCTGAACCTCGATGAAGAGGTCCTGAACGTTAATGATCTTGTTTCGGATGAGCGACTGGAGGAAGACGCAGACCAGACGGACCAGACGATTCTGCAAGAAAAGATCGGCGTTATTTATGTCGGTGAGGGCGGGACCAGGGAGATAACATGTCTCTGAGCCGAGAAGCAGCACAGTGACCACACAGGTGAACCAACAGCTGTGTGAAGCACCGGCTGAGCATGAGCTTCAGCACTTTCAGCAGCATGAATGTTATTACTGTGCAGTACCTGCATGTATTTGTCTTTGATCTGCTCACAGGTGGAGATGCAGTTGGAGATGTAGAGGTGGATGAACTCTGGAGGCAGGTCAACCGCCGTGGTCAGCCTGAGGAACAAAGAGCAACAAGTCAAGGTCTGGTTTGAAAAACAGCTGTGAACCTTTACACATTGTGCTGGTTGTTCCCTCACTTGGATGTTTGTGCAGAACACTGTCATGCACCTGGGTGTGTTCAGCTACATGAGTGTGTACATATCAGATATTTTAAAATATTTTTTTACTGTGCTACCAAATAAACTTAATGTTTTCACATTGTTGCGCTGAAAGAGACTCCAGCAGTCACACACACACACAAACAGAGACAAACACCGAGTTTCCAGACAACATGGCGACGGGCTCACCTGTTGACGACCTCCATGGAGTGCAGTGACATGTCCATGTTGACCAGCACGGAGAAATACTCAGTGATCTGGCTGCTCTGCATCAGCTTCAGCAGCATCTCGATGGCCACCAGAGGGTTGTTCTCCACCAGGTCGGGCAGCTTCGCCGGGGACAGGCCGATGTGATAAACCAGCTTTGGGTCCTTCTCCAGCTCAGCCAACAGCTGCAGGCAGGAGACAGGCAGAGAGAGAGACAGGGTGAGGAAAGTGGAAGAGGATGGAAAGAAGTTCCAATGACAAAGGTTACAAAGAAGAGTCAGGTGGTATCTCCTTTGCTTCTTGTCGACTAAGCCCACTAAGTTCTTGAAACCACCAGTGACAGTGTCCCAGTAACAGTCCTGAGTGTGCATCACAGCCTGATCCTCCTCCTCCCTCACTGTGTCCAGACCCATCAGCGACCACTCTCCTGCACTGACATGTTCCTTCACCACCATGAACACACAGACTGTAGTTTATTCAGACTCGGTCCCCCACACACTGTCCTACTGCCACTAGGGGTGTAAATCACCACTCTCATCACAATGAGAGCATTTGTTGGGGACTGTTTCCTTCTGTTTGTCTGATTAAAAACTACAAAGCAGCTGGTTGATGAGCTCCATGACTGGCTCATAATTAAGGGCAGGGACTTTTTTACCATATTGTTTATTGTCTTTGTAGAGACAACATGTAATACAAAAGTTAATAATAATAATAATAATAATGATGATAATGAAGAGAAAAAAAGAATCTGACCATCAGGCCCACACTGATTTATTATTATATTTTTCACTACTTCCCAGCTGAAAAACAATTTATTCTCATAAAACTGTTAAATTAAAGCAGCCTAGTTCTGAACATGTAGCAGAAAACGGATGGAGTCTTTTTCTAACAGTGAAACTGACCTTGCTGCTCCAGTAGCAGGAGCAGAGACTGTGTTGGACTGAAACAACCTCCTGCAGCTCAGTCCAGCATCACAACAAACCCACTGGAGTTTAGTGGAGACGCCTCCTGACAGCCACAACCACACACAGCCTCCAAGAGGGCACAACAAAATCTGACACTTTGGAAAAAAATAAACCAGTTTGGTGCTTTGTGAGACGGTGTGGGTGTCTACCGTTGCAGTAAAACTCCACCACGGCTTCAGACTGAACTCACCTGTGACTGCTGCTGGGCTGACAGCGGGCTCTTGAAGGCCTTGGACATGATGCGTTTGATCTCCACGCCGGTGCTGTTCTTCACACACATGGAGCGGTCCCACTGGATGCTGTGGTCTGGCTCGGTGGGGTTCAGCCATGCCAGTTCATCCTCACACACGTGGAGAGGCGGCGGCGGCCGGATGAACTCGGGCCGGAAGTGACCTAAGACAGAAATATGTGGACATGATGCTGGTACGCAGAAGACAGTCTCATTTCGCTCCTCTCAGCTCATTCATACAGACTCGCTAAGCTCTTTTTTAAAACTTGTCCTGAAGCAAACAGTGTTTAATGATCAACAAGTGTCAGAGCTTCTCCCTAATGTTGATATCAGATCCAGTACTGATCATTTTGTGAATAAAGTCCATTAGCTACAGTTGCTGTGGTGCCTGTGATGGCCACCTCTGTAAACTCCACCCTTACAGTCCCCAGTCAGAGCACTGGACCCCAGAGGAAATAAACACATCTCCTAGTTCTCCAGTGGAAACAGGTTCAGATCCTCAAAACATTCTTGGTCTCCTGGGGAAGTTCCTGTCCTGTTTTCTACACAGCGCCCAGCTGGTCTAACCTAAAAACAACATCAAAAACACTTACTCTCCAGTGGAGGGCAGGGTCCCGTCACCAGAGACTCAATGATCTGATTGGCCACTGAGCTATCGAAGCCCGAGTTGGAGGAGTCAGGGTCGGGGTCATTCAGGATGCTGGGGAAGCTGGCCTTACTCTGAGTGGGCAGCTCCGACTGACGCTCTGTGACACACACGGACACACATTTAATAAACAGCAGCCAGCGAAACTTTAGTCTAACGTCCTCGTTTTCTCCTGTGACAAAACTCTGGAGGCATTCAAGGTCAGTTTCATCATAGTCCTGACTGATATTTATTAACAGGTGCAGCCTCATTGAGATTAACATCCATTTTCCAAGAGGACCCCAGCAGCGTCTCGTGGACCAAATGTTTCAGGACTTTTGCCGTGTTGCTTGTGTGAAATGACAAAGTGCTGTGTTAGTTTTTAATCAGCAGCTGTCAGGACTCCAACAGCTCCATCCGATTCACACTGTTAAACATTTTACTCTAATGATTGTTAAAACATGTATGTGCACAGGCCACATGTTTTTAGAGTTAGCATCATTAACTGCAGCAAAAGCCTTCAGCCTCACAGCGGAGGACAGTCCACTGCAGATCGTCCAGAATGAAGAAGTGTAAATGTGAAGTGTACCAGGTCTGGAGCAGATGTGTTTCACTTCCTCAGTCTGTGCTCTTTCACAGCACTGCATCACGGTTTCTGACTTATTATTCTGCTCTTGATAAAAGCAACTCTGTTGACATCTCACTGTCTTTAAATACAGTGGGTACGGAAAGTATTCAGACCCCCTTCAATTTTTCACTCTTTGTTATATTGCAGCCATGTGCTAAAATCATTTAAGTTCTTTTTTTTCCCCCTCAATGTACACACAGCACCCCATATTGACAGAAAAACACAGATTGACATTTTTGCAGATTTATTAAAAAAGAAAAACTGAAATATCACATGGTCATAAGTATTCAGACCCTTTGCTCAGTATTTAGTAGAAGCACCCTTTTGAGCTAATACAGCCATGAGTCTTTTTGGGAATGATGCAACAAGTTTTCACACCTGCATTTGGGGATCCTCTGCCATTCCTCCTTGCAGATCCTCTCCAGTTCTGTAAGGTTGGATGGTAAACGTTGGTGGACAGCCATTTTCAGGTCTCTCCAGAGATGCTCAATTGGGTTTAAGTCAGGGCTCTGGCTGGGCCATTCAAGAACAGTCACAGAGTTGTTGTAAAGCCACTCCTTCGTTATTTTAGCTGCGTGCTTAGGGTCATTGTCTTGTTGGAAGGTGAACCTTCGGCCCAGTCTGAGGTCCTGAGCACTCTGGAGAAGGTTTTCGTCCAGGATATCCCTGTACTTGGCCGCATTCACCCTTCCCTCGATTGCAACCAGTCGTCCTGTCCCTGCA